TATACGCAAAAGACTTTCGTTGACAACTCGAGGATCAACGATCACTTCCTGTCTCTCCAATCCGTCCGTCCTACAATAGCACTTTGGCCGATCAGTCCCACGAATGAAACCGCTACCTATCGAAAGTGTAAAAACTTTCTAGCGGGGGGCTCCTGTAGTGACCTACTTTTGTCAACAGAACGCGATTGGTTCAATGAAAACAATTATTATTATAACCAATTGTACCAGTGACTGTTTTACTGTGCGAATAACAGCCATTTTGGTCTTCCATTGTACTCCATTACTTCTACGCGGTTTGTGACTACGCACGTACCTTTCCTTGCCGATCGCATTTGTACTCCTTTAGCACGATCTCGGTATTCTTTCGATACCACGAGATTGCCAGCAAATATATTTCAACTACTACTATTATCTGCCTTCTGATATTGGTCTACGAGGATCTTTTTGGTTAATTGGCACGTAGTCTTGTAGCGGTGTTCATAGTCAAGCTCAACTCGACACCACGCTACAGTATCATGTATAAAAATTTGAGTGAACTCCTGGTATATAGTTCCAACAGCAAACACTTCGAAATGGTTACAAATATGAAAGTAGATCACTCGATTACAAGGTGACTATCTCCTATGCAGTGATGTTTTACTGTTATATATGCTTTTTAAAGTGATGAGAAGTAGTTTTGGTGTAGTGAGGAAATTTATAGCCAGACTCCTCATGGCCTAATGGTTAGTGTATAGGAGTAGTAAAACCGACTGAAGTTGTATAGAAAATTATGCATTTTCCTACCTAAAATATCGTAGATTTCGCTTGGTGGAAACCAAAGCAATCAAACACTGGTGAGACTGAGCTGGTTGTGTAACTAAGAATATGCCCATAACTATAATATGATGTAGCCAGACATCTGAATAATTTCAAACTTTCATTTCGATAGTAAACAAAACATAGTCATTGGTTATAAAGCAATTCCTCAGTATTTATAGGTGTCAGAATTTTAATCCAGAGAGACATAACCCTGATGAAGTACTTGATGATATGTTGACTATTGTCTAAGAACACGCATGTTTTGTTGTGAAAAAATGAATATTTTACCATCGACTACAGAAATCTTAAACTCCTAGCTAAATTTTAAAGTGTTATTTAGAAGGCTGTTTGAATTATTGTTAATGGGTTTTAAAGTACATGAAATAACTTTTCACTGATTCAGAGAATTATATAAGAATAATATTGTTGTTAAACTAAACTGTAAAAATAGATGCATAGTGATTAAAACCTAGTTATATGTACACATCATCACATATCCCACCTTAGCGACGTAGAAAAATTCATAGAAATTCTAGTCGCACTTGGATGTGATTTATTAATGCTTCTTCAGAATGGTAGACAGAAATGTCAGCAACTTTGTACTCATGCGCAGCACATTTTAAACATTTATATATCCTGTGGTCAAATGTGTGAAAAAAGCTAATTGTCACGGGGCCCTAGCCATGTCATTCGTTATGCTCAGCAATTGCCACGTTTCCCAAAAGACCAGCAAACGTTGAAGGATTTAACGAAAAACATCATGCTCAAGGATAGTGAATGAACTATCATATATTTTGAACAGAGACTACTTAATTTTCTGTAATTATTCCTAATATTTTGATGCTTTCATATCAATGCGAACAGCCCTACGTTTCAACGACGGTAAGTTTTGACAAGTAATTGAGACATAGCTAGTATCGAGTATGAACAAATAGGACTGTATTTGTCATACAATGTTTATTATGTGGTCAGTCGGAAATTTAAGTCCTATTTAAGTAGACTGAACAAATTGAAATTGACTGTTCTTTATTTTGACGTGCTTTTATTTCCGTGAACTTCCTTTGTTTGCCAACTTATCAGTCATGATGTTGAACTATTTTTATTTAAGTTTATATGTACTGTTACTACAATGATTAGTGTGTATTATGTGACACTGATAGTTAATGAACAATAAAAATGTATCACTGATCAGTAATCCATGATAACATTTCTACTACAATTGATGTATACAGGTTATCATGTAGTATATGTTAGCCAAGTTCAGGTATATCACTCAAAAGGCTTTGTGAAAGTTCACTTGTAAAAGGCTGCATATTTTCTTTTGTGAATCGGGTTTATACAAAGATGAGCCGAAAATCGTGTAAAAATGGTATTCAGTAATAAGTTTAAATTCAGATTGTAAAGGTCACCTTGACCTGAGTGTAATGTAGTGAACTTGAAGCAATCCAGGTATTGGTTATTTTGAGTAATTTTTAGTACACAAAGATTGTGTTCACTATCATGTTATATTGCTCTCCACACCGTCTAATAAATGAAGAATAATGCTAGAAATTTATGTTCCCTGACAACGAAAAAGCGAATTTAATTCACAGATGGAATAGTATTTGCTTATCATAATGCTTCACATTTGGTACGATCAGTTATCATCAGAATTACGTTGATCGAAGTAGTGTCTGATCTAAGTGGACTACTTATAAACGATAATCGATTTTAACGACATACATCAATCTTCCAATCATTTTAACTTCATATTTATGAAAACGAAACTTGAGCAAAAATATTACCCTAGTTAAAGTAATTACTTATTATGTGCGCTAAAAGGCTGTAATACTAACTATACACTGATCGGATTCCCTCTAAAAATTCATAAAACACGTATAGAACGTAAAATTACAACTATTTCTTTATTATTATTAGTGAATACACGTAACGAAATGGAATAAAATCATAAGAATGCATAAAAATCTGTTTATGTGTGGTACTAAAAAGAGCTATCATCTGTCTCTTAGTTTCCAGTCCATGCACATTCATCATCTTTAATGTTGCATTTTCCGATGACCCTATGCTTTATGGGGAATCGTTCTCCGTGAAACGCATGAGTACATAGTTTTTCTCATCAATCTGTAGAGCTTCATAATTACATGTCGCTTTCGTGAAATTTGTATTGTTCTTCCGTGAACGTCAGCATTTAATCGGAACATCCTTGACCATTTTCACTTCTCCGCTAATAAATGATCTCGTCAATGTCAATGAATCGTGGCGACTGAGGTATCGATCACTGAGGAATAATTTTGGTAACTATAACGCACAATTGTTAAGCTTAAATAGTTACCTATGCATGTTATTATTTACCATCTGACAGAACATTAGAATAAATTTTTACGTTGCAGCCTCTTTATTTAAGTTAATGTTGATGACTGAATAAACCGTGTCACAAAAATTTCTAATTAAACACGACACAAAATGTGATATGTGTCTGAATCAGTTAATGTTTGCAGACTATGTAGCCGGTGTTCGACAAGTTATTAACGTTCAAATATGAGAAAAAAAGTAACGACAGAAGGGATTATTACCTTTTATCTTAATTTTCTCATGCATCAACCAATAGATCACTTTTTAAAACTACTCATCTCGCTTGACAAAACGGGATGAAAAAATTTCCAGAACAGTATGAAAAGTTCTTGGTATTAAAACATATAAAAATTTCTGTGGTGTAGATGTTATTTTTGGTGAAAATCTATAGGACATTGGACCATGTTCTGCGGAATTTACACTTCCGTCAAGGTCGTTCTAGCAGAAGTAATTAGCAGGTGGAATATTATTATAATTTCCAGAGAAGACCAAATATGTATTCAACTTCAAAATAAAGCTTTAAGAACACTTATATATATTTTTTGAGATACGCCTTCCGAAATAAGCAGTGCGAAATATCTGTACTTCTATTACAGATTGTCACTTTCTCACTCCTGTCAAAACTGGGCATATTTTGTTTAGTGCTGTGGTACGTTGACAGGTTATCAAACTTTGCAGGTTCCGAAACTGTATTGATTACGAATTCACATTAACTGTCCCTTGTGCTATGGTGTCAACGCTTGCAGAACCATGGTTCTGCCCGAGCTACCAACTTTGGAGAAATTTTGGGGAAATCCCCAAAGTCAAATGATTTGACCAAGGTTAAAGGGGAATTTTGAGGAAACAGGGAATTTCTTCAGGTCTGGGGAATTTTCGGGTTTTTGTTCGATTGCCCCAAAGTTTATTATAGCGGCTTCCCCAAAATGTGCCAAATTTTCCCCAAAATTGGAGCATGAGTGATAGCCAATTCTTACCGAGAATAAAGTACATAGACTACCTTAAATTCTTTTTAGTGGAGTTAACATTCTCTAGTTATGAAATAATTTGTGATAAAAGATCGTAGTGTTTAAATATAGAGACGGCCTAAACGCAATTAACTAATATTTTTACATAGATTACAATGGTATTCACCACAAACTGACGTAAGCTATAACGCGAGTAATATTTTCGCGCCGAAATTCGGTACTCTTGTCCACATACCCTACTTAAGTAGGGTATGACAGAATTCTGTCCTAGTTTTCCTGTGGTTGTGCATGAAAGAATTATTTTTCAAGTTTCTCTGAGGGAAACCAAGTTTTTTAAGTTTACTGTCAACTAACCGTCCTGATACTCTGTAATTTCGATAACATTTAGCGATTTTTAAATCACTGCCCACATCCACAGGCTTTCCAGGCCGTAGATACTTGCAACAGTGTATGTATTTCAGGTTCTGTGTTGCACTTAATTCAGTCATTTATTCGTAATATTGTGTGTTGTTAAGGTTTACTAAGTTGTTTCGACACAAATTATTTTGGACCAATGTGCTTTTTGCACAAGGGTTCGGTCAGATTGTAATTTGTATTTGACTTCTGTTGAAGTTACTCTCTCACATTGAGTCGCTTCGGCACATCGCATTTCCATCAGTTACGTTTGTATTTTTCCAAGTATCATTTAGGGTGTGAATGAGTAAGAACTATCACTTAATGTAGGTTCAAGACATTCATAAAGGTTATTTATTTATAATTATTCAATTCGTTTTTTTTTACAGTTCTTAAATACATTCCTATCTGAAGCGTCGGGTTTTCTGCGAAGTAATCACTTCTTGGGCCTTGACGTTATTTGATATTTATGGTGGTTTAAGAACATCTAAAATGACAGATTGGTTTCATAGGAATTACTTAAAGGCTACTGCTAAGTATACTTTTGATGTTGGTGCAGTTGCTAAAGATTTAAGCTGCAAGACTCTATGCAGGTATGTATATTGTTTAATAAGACAATAATGAATTGTCATAGTTTTTATCACTATTTTGACTAATTAATATCTATTTCTTTTTGTAACCTTCCCAAATATTTATGAAACTTACCATGTAGCAGTAGATGATATGCATGCAATACAATTATTTGATCATATTCATATTCAATCCATTGACCACTTACCTGGATATAATATTTTTGTTGGCATAGAATCAAGTTGGGAAAAAGATTGGGATGGATAGATCCAGACCGAATTGGCTTGTTGAGTAATCGACTATCGATTTATCCCTTGAGGAGTAGTTATACATAAATACTGGCTGAGATTTGTAAAATAGTCGTAATTTATAATTGATGACAATGAGTGATATAGTGCCAAATCGGTCCATTTACGTAGTTAGATAGATTTTCTCTCTTCCTTTAAATGTCGATTTCTCTCACTCCGTACTTTCCATTGTTTGATCTTATTCGCTTCTTTTAAACCATTCACGTTCATTTTTCTAATGAGATACGTAGTTGTGTAATTTCTAGAGTGACTAACTGATAGATTGACGGATGTAAAATCACACTGGGGTTTGATGAAATGTGTTATTATCTCTTGTTTTCAAAACTGTTTCTGAAATTATATCAAATTGTTGGGACAATATTAATCTCCTCAATATAAAAGAAGAGGTTAATAAATAGTTCTTTGTAATGTCAGCCAGTTACAACGTAGGACCAGGCACATGCAGCCCCCAAATGCCCTGGTACGGCCGAGAGTGGGGAGAGTCCGCTCTCCCTCTCGAAATGCTCTCACATGGCCACGCGTACATAGCCCCTGCCAGGGAACTCCTACTCACTGCCTTCACGTGGCTGGGGTGTTGTTTACGAAAATGAGAGGACGAAAAGCGAATTTCCGGCGCTTTAACCGGATCCAAAAAACCAATAATGCACATGGGCTCCAGTATCCTGAAGGATCAAATGGCGTATGAACCAATCGTTGGTCACCGGCTACCATGGGACTGCATCTCCTTAAGATGCTCCACTGCCTTGTGGATCAGACGTTCAGGCCAAAGGCTCGGGGTGTGGCCCCCTAAGAAAACCACCTGCTTCGGTTTGGGCACCCGAGCAGTATCACAGCCTTCACACAAATCAATTGAGATTTGTGTGGCGCATATGTATTTGGTGCCTCCTTGTACCAATACCTATGTGTTAAAATAAATAAATAAATAAATAGGCACATGCATGCATCGGTCCAAGTTGCCACACCTCATTAGCACAGCAAGACGAACACCGGTTTCATAGAAGCAGTTAACTCATTGGTATAATACGTTCATGGTTTTAAATTTCTTATGCTGCTTACACTAAACACCTAGCTTAACTCGTAGTTTTACTGATACATTTTTGATATAGAAGATACCAGGCTTTCTAAATAAATGCCATATCTGTTTCTTAGAAATCTGTTCATCAGGAGTCCTTGTTATTAGTGTAGTATAATTTACTCATTAAATTTAATTTAGCGATACAGCTTAATCCTGTCTGATGAGCAGTACGTTTTGCGGTTTTCTTACGACAATTTAATTAAAAAACAAATAATCCTGTGTTGCACATTTCTTTTTATCCTCATTAATAATCGTAGTATGTAAAGTGCTGAATGGTAACTTCCGAATAAAAGATGCAATGTGCACAACTAAGCCTTCTTTTGAATCACAAAACTCTTTTTCCATAAAATTAACATCAGAATCTGTTTTACAAAATTCTGGACAATTCATCCCATCTATACTTTTTTCTTGATGTATTTCTGTCACATTTAAAAGTTTGGATTTCCAAGACTACATTCTTTCGCTTACTCATTTAATTTCAGTGACTCTGCAAAACGTCGTGTTGAACTTCTCAAGCTGATATCGGATCCATCAGTACCATGTGAAGCAGTCATAACCTCTTTAAATCGATATTTACAATTATTAATGGGATTCATTGTGGCAACTGATAATAAAACGCCGTTCAGTAAATTAAGAGGTCTCGTTTGTGTGAAATGGTGTGACAGTATAAAGCCAAAGGGTGAACCAATGTTTGTGAATGTTCTTTTTGCTTATTTTCTAACTTAATTTATTTAGTGTTCGCTCAGATTCTATCTTTGAATTATACTCAGTACTTTTCAATGTTGCTTTATGGTATACTAAACATGCAGCAAAAGTTGCTTCTAACGAGAAGTAAGTATTGATTTCCCATGTATCTATATAAAAAATCAGTGTTTCAGAAGATGAAGCCAAGGATGTTCATTTATCACTTAAAACAGCTGCTGGATTGTTTAATTTATTACGGACAAAATATATGCATGAGTTTACAGAATTTGTTCCGAACAGTGATATGGATCCAAATATTCTGGATGCCTATTTAAATCAGTCCTTAGCAGAAGCTCAAGAAAGTTAGTAGTGTCATGCTTTTTATTCTCATGCTTTAGTTCTTAGTTATCCTTCTACCAATTTATTGGTTACATATGTGGTTAATTCTCAGAAGTCGAGTCTACTGCGGCACTGATTATTCTTATACAATCTATAGTTATGGGAATGACTGTTGTAAATCAATAACAATGCACTCGTATTAGCCAGGAATTTATTTATCAACGTAGTTAATATCTGCTTCGTCGATATCGGCTATATACGCATACCTAACCACTACCTATGTTGATCCTTAATAATGCTCAAAGCATAAGTAAACTGGACAACACTTAATAATCGGAGCTACTCTTTAATCCAATCTGATAAATCGCTAATTTGTTCAAAAGATTTCTAAGAGAGTAGTAAACAATAACTTGGCTGTTTATTTCAACCGCAGGAATTTTAAGATAATTACATAATTACTATTTCCGCGGGACCAGCTGAACGACGAAGAATACACTATCTCAATGATCAGTATTTATTCGAGATAACTACAAGTTGGCTAATATCACTTAAGTCACTGACAAGTGGACTGAGCCATGTTGGTAGATGTAGACTATTTGGTTGGGGACCGCGAGATGATAGCAACCGATGGTTAAAGACCTTGAATGACATGGCTCAAAATCGTTTGCAATCGCACATGTGCATCCAATCTCTGTGTTCTCTCAAACTTTGATCTTCTGTATTCTTCATGTCCTTTAGTTTCTTTCCAAATCTATTCCACTGGATTATACTCCTTAAATAACATCATCAAACCCTAATGTTCCCTATCACTACCTCTTCCACTACGGGATTTGAATCGATAACTGAATCTCTGTGCTAATGTGGTATGGCAACTCGAACTGATGTACGTACGTACGAAGTTCCACGTTGTTACTGACTGACTCTCTTCTAATTAAGTCAGTTACTATTTATATATCGTAAACCAAAAAAGCACTTACAGCCCATGTATTTACGAGTAGTTGAGTCGGTTTAGCCAAAGCTAAACAGACTATGACCTCAGTTAATTTAGTAATTTACTCGAAACAACTCACACTTGTATCTGACTCACAAAGTAACTTTGATACATCCTGTATTCCGTGAGATTCTGCTCGACTTTTCATCCATTGATTCTTCATACCTACAGATGAAATGAGGTATCGAAGAGAGAGATATTCTTGAATACCAAACACCACAGGATTTCGACGCCGGTGTTAAAATTCGAAAAGTCAGGAGCTAATACTACTATGTTTCCTTACTGAGCAGTTGTGGGTGAATATTCTTAAGTGGTTGTCCCTTGGATCCTCTAGTTACGCTCCAGCCAAAACAAATCCTGTTACTTAAAAAGAAGTATGTTTCTGTGGTATAGGCAGTCGAGAAATATCAATCATCACACACTTTAAAAATTAAATGTGTAACGAGTTAGAACGATACATGTTTGCTTCACGTTCTTTGTTGTCTCTGACGGATTGTGTGTGGAGTGAAAATGCTTGGTAAATATCTACATTATAAGTACTTCTTTGTATTTTCTTCCCACTTATCTGTTTTCCAATGTCTTATTTTAGAGTTTTAATTTATTAACTCTCCAGCTTTACAATGTACCCTTTTTTGATATTCCAGTTACTGTTGCCAGAGCAATTGAATTAAAACATAAACCACATTTAATCGCTGGTTTAGCTAATGAAACTGCCAAGTTTTACGAAAAATGTGGTAAGCTCCCAGTTATTTTTAAGATCAAGTTTTTAATGAACACCTCATATTTAGTGAATTTTCGGAATGTCGCGTAAAACTAACTCTTTATTTGACCGATAAAAATATATTGATGTTTGTTATCTGCTTTAGTAACCCTAAGTTTGAAAAAGAATCTTGTGCTACTGTTTATAGTAGGCTTTTAAAATCCGATAAATTTTAGTCATCATTAGCATTGAATATATATTTTATATGATAAATCAACTGAAGTTGGATATTGTCATTCATGCGATTATCATCAGTGTAACATCCTCTCTCGAGGTATCATGTCCTAGCTTTTGTGACCGGAAATCTCATTTCAGGTGGGTTCTAGACTTTGATACCTACGTCGATGTATGGTGATTGCTGGTGTAAGAATAGGCTGGAAGAGATCTAGGTGTTACCAAATCAAGCCGCAGCCCATAAATTCATTGACTGTTTGACTGAGCCGTGTAGGAAACTGTAGATTACATGGTCGGAGTCGTTGCGATTGTCTTAGTGAGTGATTCAGTCAGTCAGTAACAACGTAGAACTTCGTACGTACGTACACCAGTTCGAGTTGCCATACCACATTAGCACAGAGATGCAATTGTCGATTCAAATCCCGTAGTGGTAGTGGTAGTAAGAGTATAATCAGTAATAGGAAAGATTAGGGTTTGAAGGTGTTATTCAAGGAGTATAATCCAGTGAAACAAATTCGGAAAGAGAAAAAGGAAAAGGACGTGAAGAATTCAGAGGATTAGAATTTGAGTGAACACAAAGAGTGGATGCACATATGCCATTGCAAACGATTTTGGGCCATGTCATTCAAGGTCTCTAACCATCGGTTGCTATCATCTCGCAGACCCAAACCAAGTAGTATACACCTATCAACATGGCTCAGCCCACTTATCAGTGACTTCATAGATTTGTACCATGTTTTGGTCTGGTCGCGCCTAGCTTTCTTCCAACCTACTCGTACACCACCATTGAAGTGCCTATACCTTCTGTTTCTCAAGTTCATTTATTTTGAATCATATTCCCTATGCCTAATGTTATCTGCTGCAATGGATATTGTAATTACTTTTACTACTAATTAGTTTGTCTCTATAACTTAATCTTACTGTGTGGATGTAGTGTGGCGACTTGAACCGGTACACATCAGTCAATCAGCTGTAATGTAGGTCCAGGCACATATATGCATCAGTCCAAGTTGCCACACCTCATTAGCACAATAAGATAATCACCAAATTCACAGAAGTGTTTGCTTTAATTGTAGTAATATATAAAAGAAGGATTGTATATAAGGATATAATGCATGAAGAAAGAATTAGTTTACAGAAAGGTATAAAGTAATTTTAATCTCATGGTTTACGAGAAGACAAAGAGTGTATACACCTACGCCATTGTGATCGATTCTGGGCCATGTCACACAGAATCTCCAACCATTGATTACGGTAGTCACGCGAACCCCAACCAAGTAGTCCACATCTACCAACAAGGCTCAGACCAGAAGTTAGTTACTTCAAAGACTGATGCCACGTTTTAGTTTGGTCGCTCATAACTTTCTCCCAACCGTCTCCAAAACACTAGTCGGCATTGCGCGTCGTGGTAATCGGTGTCCAGGCATACATTGCACGTGGCCCAACCATCTCAGTCAGTGAAGATTCCCAACCTCACCAACTGATTTACCATCATTCCCTAGTACCACTGGTAAATACGGTTAACATGCATATCAGTAACAAGTTTTCACTTATGCACCCCTTGGCATCCATATGCATATATTTTCCCATCTGAAGGGATAAATAATCACCACTTCCTTCGAAAGTATATGCTACAACTGACTGTCTTACACATAGCATGCATACTTATGTCCAAAGACTCATCTATGCACCTCATGACCTACACACACACGTAAGCGCTCTCTCAGGGATGATTGATGGTCATTTCTCCATAGTATTCACTACCATGTTTTTTATTATGTTTTCGACCATTAGGATTAGGCCGCTGATTTTATTAGATGTAGAGCAGATATTTTTTCAGGTTACGTTCTTTGTGCTAACTCACGCACGTATCCTTTGCATATGCCTACATACATAAACTACACAAGTAGAGACTTCTACAATTCATACACATCAGGCAACCCGTCATCATTTTTAAAGACTCGGAGATTGAACTCCGAGTAATCTAAAGTCGGCATAGAAGCAGTAGATTAGTTCAATCTCCGCCGACCGCCCACGTTTGCTAGCAAAGTTGCCTTCGCTACCCAGCACCACGTGGAGTTTTAGAGTCCATTTTGCTGCCAATCTATGTGAATTTTTTCTTTCCGTTCTTCAGGTTTGGCTTTGACACAATGTAATCCTAAAATTGTTGGCAAATGGAAAAAATATTCAGAATTTAAACAGTTCTGTTATGAATCATATGTAAGTGTATAGACTTTATACAACTAATGAATAGCTTTTGTCTATTAAATTAGATGTTTATGAGTTTTAGATAATTATTCATTGGTATTATTCAACAACTTTACGTTTCTACTCATGTATTGATCTTTGATCTTAGCTATCCATTGTATACCTCCTAAATCATTAGGGATATAGGCATCTTGATCTTGTCTATAATAACGTTATTCATCCACTTGAGTACACCGATTCGCGATGTATATATGCTTTCTTTCCGAATTCATCTATTATGTACTACTTGAATTTCGAGCAGATGATATGGTCCTGTTTGATGAAGATGCTGATAAAATTCAGCCTCTTGGCAGCACTCAAAAGCAATACCAGTATGTTTGTAATGCGTTCCTCCCTCTCTAAATGCAAAGTTTTGTTTCAGGACTGTCCTGCGTCAACACCTGAATTAAGGATGGCGAGTGAAGCAGTTAAACGCGTCGACAACTTCACTTATCTTGGAAGTCTGATCAGCCCTAATGGGTTGGTGTCTAATGAAGTCTCTGCACGGATTCAAAAAGCTCGTTTGGCTTTTTCCAACTTACGTCACCTACGGAGAAGGCGAGATGTCCGTCTATCAACTAAGAAACGAGTATACTGTGCAGCATTTTGTTCTCTTTACGGTTGTGAAACGTGTCTATTAAGGGTAGAAGGTATTCGTTAGTTACTAGTATTTGATCACAGATGTTTTGGAATTATTGCCAACATCTGCTGGGATCACCGACTAAGTAATAGTCAGGTTAGACACAGGGTATTAGGGAATGATGGTAAATCCGTTGGTGAGGTTGGGAATCTTCACTGACTGAGATGGTTGGGCCACGTGTAATGTATGCCTGGACACCGATTACCACGACGCGCAATGCTGACTAGTGTTTTGGAGACGGTTGGGAGAAAGTTATGAGCGACCAAACTAAAACGTGGCATCAGTCTTTGAAGTAACTAACTTCTGGTCTGAGCCTTGTTGGTAGATGTGGACTACTTGATTGGGGTTCGCGTGACTACCGTAATCAATGGTTGGAGATTCTGTGTGACATGGCCCAGAATCGATCACAATGGCGTAGGTGTATACACTCTTTGTCTTCTCGTAAACCATGAGATTAAAATTACTTTATACCTTTCTGTAAACTAATTCTTTCTTCATGCATTATATCCTTATATACAATCCTTCTTTTATATATTACTACAATTAAAGCAAACACTTCTGTGAATTTGGTGATTATCTTATTGTGCTAATGAGGTGTGGCAACTTGGACTGATGCATATATGTGCCTGGACCTACATTACAGCTGATTGACTTGAATTTCGGATCTTGAGTGATCTTCATGTAGAATTTTATGTATAAATCACAAATAACTTTTGTAATTATTTGTTCTATTAGTGTTTTAATGAGTTGATTCTGTTTATTCGTGTTTGACGGTCACATATTTTGCTATTTAACTCAGATTATGATACACAATAATGATACTTGATCAACCGAACTAAATGAAGTTAGACACTTTCTAAAATAGTGTATTTGGTAACTAAAATATCTATAGTTAATATGAGTATTTAAGCAGTAAAAATAATGTGTGAATCATCACTTCACTCGTTATGACATATACTTATATCTGAATCTCCATAATTCTGAAACAGTGGCATTTGACTTATCCTGCTGAATTTACTCGATATTTCATAAAGGCAACAATATAGTATGATGACGTTACCGTTTAATCATAAAGTGTTGAACACTTAATTGTAAAGTACTTTAATTAGAAAGCAAGTATATATTATTTGATTTAATTTGAAAAAGTTGTAATTTTACTGTCTGATGAAGAGATTCGTAACCCTATATACTAACGTATACTAAAGAAATAAGTATCTGTTCATCTTGGTGAAACTGCCATTCAATTAATACTAGTCTTATTTTTTACCGATGATTTTTGTCATTCTTTTAAGTTATCAGCATGGTTCACTCTATTTTATAATTATTAAACATTTGAGTAGTTCACTGGGCTCTAATTTTCCTATTACGCTTCATTGAAGATGGATTAAATTTTCTTAGCCTTAGGCAAAATGTTTTTTTTTTAAACACGGACGTTGACTCACAATTATCCATTTAGAATGCTTCATAAAAAATATGTAACTATAGAGCGTTATATAATCAAAATCAAAAATTGAGAATCCTTTTTTATCATTCAAAGAATGTTTTTACATTTGAAGGAATAATTTGTGTAGTATATATTTGAGCTGAACGCGCTTACAACGCATTGTAAAGTTGAACACTTCTTTTAAGCTGAAACATGCCTAGATTTATTTTCTTTGAAATACGGTAAGAATAATCAAAGTCGTTAATAATCTAAGTTATTTGTATTTATCCTAATCTTTTTTTTAAATCAATAATCAACACCTTTTGAACTACTGATGTTTTACACCTTTCTGTAAACTAGCTCATAATCCTTATGTCTGATTTTCTTATCCTGTGTAAAATGTAAGTTCTTTTAGTGTCCTTCATGAAGTTCTTGTTTTTTTTGGAAGTTAATGAAAAGCTAACAATAACTTAAATTTTTATTACGACACTATTTCGATAGTATTTTTTTTGCATATCTTTCAAAAATAATAGTTATTCAGAAAGCAACTTATCACTTGGCATTTATTAAAAGGTTATTTTCGATGATTCAACTTAAAGTTGTTTGATTTACAAATGAAGCGTTTATCAAAATTTGTTATCATGTCTAGATAACAGTAAGCAACATTTTAATTCTACATCATCAGTAACTATCCTATCAATCAGTCTTTCCCTAAAAACAAATTTTGAATGTATTGTTAACCTTTTTCTTTAAATCATCTGTTTATTAATCATTAGTGTTGTCTTGATTATCATAGATAATACGGTCCAACACTATCATTGTTTACTTTTAAATAGTATATTGTGATAAATGTGGATTCTTTAATAAATGGAATACACCCATTAAGACCTTAAATAAGAAAGATTAGTTCAGCGAAGAGTTCTCTTTTCGTCGAATTCATTTTCAAAGCTGTACAATCGCTAATACATATACTTATTTTCACAGGATGATAATAATTCTGATAATAAACTTCAGTTAAACATGGTGACAGTGAGGTTAAATAAACAAAGGTATTAACAAATTTTTTAAAAACAAGGAAAGTTTAATAATCGTTTGATTGTTAATGGTTTAAGTATTCATCAAAAGATAGATAGGGAAATTATCATTGGGAAAGGATGGCTTAGTATGATAAGATAAAATGTTGAGATTGAGATGAAATGTAATCGGAATGATCACGGAAATAAAAACAAACCAGTTGGAGATAGAAGATTTAAGGGGAAGATGGAAGATGAAGCAGATGGCTGTAATGGAACAAGAGAAAATTTTTAATACATTAAGACCATGGTAGAAGAGGAGGTTGTACCAGTCTCTTTTGCACACACAATTCTGGTTTTTCCAGATGTATGGTTATTGCTTCGGTAATACAAAGAAGATGCAGTCTAATTGCCTTAGGAAGACTTCTACTTACCTTGTAGATGACTTTAAACGCAGAGTCTGTCTTGATTGAATGACCTGTGTTCACAAGGTGTTCGATTATAGAACTTTTTATTGAGCCGTTGCTTCCTCTTTTTAGCCACACCGAAAAGAGAACTCTTCGCTGAACTAATCTTTCTTATTTAAATGTGGATTCAACCTAAACATTTACATTTTATATTGTACATCTAAGTGTTTATATTTATACAGATATTTTGATGTGTATTAATTTAGTTTAAACATATTTTTCGATAATTCACTGTATCAAACCTCTAACATCAAGTTCGTTGTACTTGCCATGATTATCATGTGTTATATTAACCTATATTAGAATGAAATTTTTTTTACTGTATTTGTTTGTATAGACGAAAATATGTTATCTCATTTGTTATCTATTGTAACATTCGTTTCATTGTTTAATTAATTATTTGTTATCTGATACATAACTCAACTATAACTTTTTCGGTTGAACATAGGTAATTTGTAGAGAACAGTTTTGATTTAAAGTTATACTGTTTACTCATAGTCATTCAATAGGAATTTAGACCAAATTTTCGTTAGCAAATTATCAGTTTGGCTAGCTTATTCACATGGTTCATTATGTCATCGTAATACTATTGTTACCTATCAGATGAATTTCTGAAACCTCGCTCCCTTTACATGTTGCAGTAGTAAATTGGTTTACAACTCGATACATTATTTGGTCATTTCGAAGCAAACTGATGATATTTATCAACACTAAAGCGTTAGGCTGTATGATGAACTAGGTAAACTCTGTAGTGTGTAAAAAAACATTACTAGTAAGGAAATAGGTAAATATATGTAATTGAAGCAATTATTCTTACGCTTTCGATATCTCCATTCGGTAAAGATAAAGTCAGGAGATCCTTCATTGTTCTGTCCTCTCCTTTTATCTTGTACTGTGACGTCACTGTAAGTATACCTTATGTATTCCATTAAGTTTAATATTGTTTTGTAGATTAGCAGTTCTATAATAAGTAAAAGATAAATCAAAGTAGGGTCCATGGAAAATAGCATTATTGTATGACGAAATTCATCTGTATCAAGGAGATCCTGCTAAAGAGCAACATAATTTTGACATTATTTCTTTACTATTATCCGTGGAATTTGTAAATTTAGAACGTATGTGAATATTTTTTGTTTCTATTCGTTCTGAGATTACTTTTTTAGGGAGGGAAGCAATCCATCCATAGTCTTGATATCTACTTTGAATATTATTTATAGAAAAATCGTCAATAAAATGGTGATAATCATTCCATTGTTTGTTAACCATAACTTTTTCAAAAACAATATATATTTTGTACATGAAGTTTCCTGGTTATTTCTTACATCTAACTTAATAATTCATCACTATAAATGCAGTGTTATTGGTGTTTCAATTTAATTTTCATCTGTCAGAAATTTATTTTTCTTAAAGACATATGTTTACTATGGTGAGGACTTATTGGAAAAGGGAAAGGCAGGTCAAGCTGTGGCAGTTCTTAAAGAGGCATCTGCTCGTAAGTTATTGTTGTGATTATCTGATTTTGTACATTTATCAAGTAAAGATAATTGAATGTTTCGTATACCTAACCACCGGCAAACTCGACAGGTGATTTCAGCTTGTGTAGGTGTAATTTAAATGTAAAGCTAGAGGTGACCAAACAAAAATGTGATATCAATTTAAGAAGTTATTTACTGTTGGTCTGAATCATGTTGATGTATGTAGACTACTTGATTAAGATTTGCACGATAATTGTTATCGGGTGTTGGAGAATTTGGGTGACGGCTTAGAATCGTCTACACCGAGGTAGACTTCCTGAATATCACTGATAATACAGCTATGTTGACAGCTTTTATTATTATTATGCTGGTTTCGTCTCGCCGTGCTGATATGGTATGATATCTTAGACCGATAAGCATTTGTCCCAAGCTCTAACATGACTGACTAATCAACTGGGAATCTAGTTCAATTACACCAAAGTGCTGGGTGATTCAGTATTTCACTGTAGAATTAATATTATATCCGACACTCCCATACATGCTTGTGTGTTTGAGAAAATACAAGCTTTTTGCAAAAATCATCTTTAACGTTTCCGCAACGTCTTTGTCGGCTAAAGTAAAGTTTCGTCTATTGTATATATATATTTTTTAAAGCATATGAGAAGGCAATTCGCGCTGCACGTGAATATACAAAAGTTGAAGGTGTCAGTTTGTCAACTAAACCACCTGATCATTGTTTTTTCCGTCGTCTGCCTGGACTTATTGAACGTACACATAATAAATGTGAACGTGAAAATGGATTAATGTAGGTTATTGCATGTTTTCAGCCTATTAACCTTGACCAGTATTTTTTCATGAATGGTACCATTTTTAACCACTTTGTTGCAAGGTTTGGTTCATTTAATGTGTCTGACTGTAGAATCCAGAACATATATTTCGTCTCATTTTTTGGCTTGTCAGCTGGATGTTAGAGTTGATGTCTACCACGTGATTCGGACCCAGTAACTTTCATTCCATCACGTTATCAACTTAGCTAATTAATATAAGTAGCCATAAGTAGGTATTTTAATTGAATTCGTAGTGGATTTAGATTATCCCGTTGATCAAGGTAGATGAAATCCCAGTCGAAATATCAACGACGGTTAAATCCAAAACCATTTGAAATTAAATAGTACCTTTCGCTTTATACATCCTAAAGGTTATCCACCGAGCTACTTTGCTAAAAGAGAGTTTCATCATTTGAATAGAGAATTTTCGATTGTTGAAATCAATAAGTGGAATGTTGGTTGATGGATGATATACAGTGATACGAAATGTGGCCGAGTAATGGCTGATCATAAAACCATATTGCTAACCTAAGCCTCTGAATTCTTTTAGTTCAATTAAGACCTAATTATTAGAATTCTTTTGGGTATCATTGTATCAGCTACCGAGGAAAAGGTACTGAGTTCGAATCCTAATGTGAACATCATCGAAAATTCAGGTACATTCAACCGAAAAGTACCAAATAGGATATAACTTGAATTATGGACCCCACTGATAGCTACTCACAAAATATACTAAAATTTATGACATAACGCCATATCGAGGCCATCAGCTCAGGATGCCCGTATCGCGGCTGAGAGACTGATTATTTGCAGTCTTCTTTAATTTTACAATACTGTGACAGCATTTGCGATTTACATCGCTAAATTTCTGCTTATTTTTATAACTTATTTTCTAAAATGAAATGAAGTGTAATATTAGTAATATTGATTAAATCAATATAATCATACTTTCTTAATGATAAGTCAGTCAATATCATAATCGTTTTATCACAAGATATATCAATATTGAATATTCTAGAAATGTGAGTTGCGATAGGTTTGTTTCCAAGTGTAAATTATCTAAAAGGTCATGACGATACATAATTTTTATCAAAATTATAGTAGTTTATGGTTTGATCAATTTTACTGAATTATATATACTTTCAATGAGTGAAATAAATGGTGAACATGTGATTCATTGTATCCATATTTCAAGACAGAATTTATTTCTTTCGTTGTTGTGAACTTTAATGATTTAGAATTTTGTCAAAAATTCTTTTGGTATCTCAGTACTTAGAATTATTTATACAGAATCAGGTTACAAAATCTTTAGACGGAGAATCTTCAATTCAACAATGTACTTAGTAACCATGTATGGATTCGTTATGTTTAGTGCAGCCAGGTACATTGATATTTATCCTTTGGTTAATCACGGTTTTCTTTGACCCGATGCATTAGTCTGAATTGGTAGACGTAAGTGGAAATTGTTTGGTTTCTGATTTATGATTGGATTGGGCTTACGGTAATTTCTAATTATGAACGATCAGGATACTTCTGATACGAATGGAATCTATTGCAAATTCGATAATACAACAACTAACACACATCACTTCAGCAACAATTTCTAATATGCAACCCAGGAATAATCAAAGAGTGCAAACAGAGCTTGATATTCTAAAAAGTTGAGAAGTCAGTATTGAAATAGAATAATCCATTATATATATTAATATAGTGATCTTGAGATAATAAAATTGACGAACTGCAAGGAAAAATAACCATACGAATGATAGAACAGCACATATGAACTAGAAAAAGCTAACAAAAAACGGGGAAATTTGAAGTTTTTCTATTTAAAACAAACCCTTGTCATTTCACTTTAATTATTTTAGTGTCTTCGCTGTAAATTTGGAGAATTTTTCAACAAAGGTGTAACGGTTAAAAGCTATCGTTTGTTAGTATTCATAACTCTGTGTTGCCTTTTACTAAACTTTTCTCACCTTTAATTTGAACCACATTTTCAAGCAATTGATTTTCTTAGGTATTTGGATGCCACTTATAATTAATTTTTATATAAATCTGGGCGTCGTTTGAAATTAATGGACTTTGTCTGACACTTACTTTCCCCAATTTTCATTTTACTGGTATGGCTTTGTCGGACAATGTTGAAGCGTGAACCGTTTCATACGTCCGGATATTTCAGTATCGGTTTCGATTGAGACATACTGAAAATATCTGTTACCTAATCTTTTTGCTAATCACATCACATTGAGGCCGAAATATATATAAACTATTGAATAAATGATTCAGAAAGTAATGTTTTCTCGAATATTTTTCATAAAAGTAGTATTTATGTCAAATTCTATAGTTGTATTTTAGAAAGCTTCTTTATCGCGAACAATTTTTCGCTTTCAAAAATTACACTGATTATTTTGAGAATGGATTTATATTTTGTATTGTAACATGAAATTTGACTAGATTACGTTACCGTAGACACTTATCTAACCATTGATCAAGGGCTAGATATCAATAACTATATGTATATTGGCACATATACATAATGCCAAGAAGCCATCCACAATATCAAGTTAGTTCATCATACATAATATGCTTGGAGTTGTTTGTTTTTACTCACTAGCCAATCACCAACTACATTATTTGGACACATTTTGTCGCGTAACAGTGAGTATTAATTTGTTGTACTTGCATTACCGTTTTAATTTATCCTTTACAGTGACAATTTACATGTTAACTCATTTGTTCCTCGATAATCTTTTAAATAAATTTAGATATCATCAGAAAGTTCCAAGTGTCGCGCCATTTTTGGAAATAAAAGCGGAATATGGCATCGCAGCGCCAAAAGAACCTGAGCTCAATTTCGAGTTAGATCCCAGATGGAAAGACGCTTACGTTGGGTTTGATACTAGCAAAGTAGTGGAGAATATTTTATCAAACTCCGTAAGTTAACTGTCTGACAGCACTATAAGTTTCTTAGTAGTATTTACTTAGTAGTTACTATCGCAATATCACAGTACCCATTTGTATTACTTTGTTTTTGACAAATAGGCCAAAAACTGCTGCTTACCCATCTTTTCTCTTAACTGCGGGTCACCTGAGATATCTGGTACTAAAATGCCTGATATAAACATCATAATCGCTTCGCAGTTCCATAGGGGTCTCCCGTACTTGGTCCTCCAAGAGAATACGAACAGTGTAAGATATGAAAAGAAGCTATACTTTCATTGTTAGTTTAGGTGAAGGAAGCATGAATATTTATAGGTTTGTGTTGGAATCTTCATATCCTAGTAACTCCTGGAAAAATGCTAACGATAATAACAGAATCGATTATTGTCAAGTCAAGATATAACAAGTAATGTGTGGTTTTCCAAAAACTGGAAAGTTTCTATTAAACGCTAACCGAACCAAGTATGTTTAGTCTTTTCTCAGATTCTAAAAACTTTTTCAAGTAAATTTCAAGGCTCTCAACACCACTGCTTAGAACTAAATCTACATACATCGGTTTGAATAGTCAGTGTTACCCAACACATATGTATAAAGCCACTGGATAGTTCACAAATTTGTGTGTAATTCCAAGGCTATATATTATTTTTTTAACATTTTGAAGGATCTTTTTTATCTACTGTTCACTGTTTTATGTAAAAAGGCTATTGTTTTATGTGTAGTTTTTAAAGAATAGGTATTGTTTAGTGGATTGTCAGATAGAAATAATAATTTTATGATGTCTTTCATCTTTCTGGTTTACATGACATTTTAAAACCACAATATTATACATAAAATCTAGTCACAAATAGTTAGGTTACATCAAGTATCCATTCCTTAACAAATATTTCATTCTTTATTAAAGAAAGTGTTCATAAATTTACTGACGAATTTTTGTTATATAGTTATATAAAGAATTGTTGTTATTGACAATACAGATGAGTTCATTCATTTACAAGTGGTAGCACAATTCGAAACTTTAAAATAAATTTAGATCTTTTAAAATGGACTTTCAGTTTTCATTCAGTAAATAACATTCCTGTTATTACATTTTCCACATAATTAGTAGTAGCACAACAAATAGAACTCTGATCAATTATAAGAAATTGAACGAGTGTTTATATGTGTGAACATAAAATTCGATACTTTTTAAAAGTTATACTTTAAGGAGAAATGTTTAAACAGATTATTTTACTGCCTTTGACTACACTCATATATAACAGATTTTTAAACTTCAGTTTCTAATTCATACAAGTTAATAACAAACAGTACAGTTTATGTTTCTATTTATATTTTTTGAACCGATTTCGATAGTTGATTGTTGTAATTATCTTGTGTAGTACTAGATGTAAACCACTGGATTTTCGATTATCATTGAACGGCGAATTCTGACCTGATCATTCATGTTTGATACTAAACAAATTCATTTTGGAACGCGACTTGTTTAGTGACTTCATTTGTCAGAATCAGTATTTTTGGTAAGTAGTTTATACTTGGAATTATAGAGGAATTATGGAGAAATCTACCTGATGATGGAAGTTGTATTATTTAAATAATACATTAACTGACGAAATGGGGGACCTGGAGAATGACGTTTCAAACTCCTACCTTACGTACTTTGTGATGTTCAATCATTAGTCTAAAAATACTATGGATGTGTAGGTTTCGATTCTGTCAGATACTTTGAAGATGAAGTAAGATAAAAAAATAGTTCGTCATATTATCAGTGATACTTCTTAATGTAAGTAATGCGTAATTTCGCAATCTGTAAATCATTTACATATTACATTAAAGTAAACTATATTTCATAATTTGTGATAAAGTAATTTTCAATTTCTACTCCGTCTGTGTTTGCTATCTTTACCGTCTTTCTGTCAGAAAAATTCAAAGGATCACAAACATTCTGGAACCAAAGATGAACCAGTTGAGCCAGTTCGTGAAATGCCTATTTTTAGTACTGATAAAGATCCAAAAAATGACAGTGGATGTGTTATATCATGATATAAATTTTTACAAAATTATCTTCGGAATTTCGTTACAATTTTATTTATTGGTTCAAAAGAATTTTATATTACAGTATGTGTATTCTTTCTATATTGTTTGAAGGTATGACAATCAATATACGTGCTATGGTTACTAAAAATATGATGATCATTAATTAGCTTTTAATCTTTATTTCTATTCATGATTTATTTTATTTTATTTGTTATTTGACGCGTACACAGTCATGGTGTTTTTGTTGAATATATTGTATATAAATAAATCGCCATTAGTTTGTCCTGTTAAAATATTTCTGGGCATTGATCATTTGAGCGTCATATCGATCCTAATATTTTACATCGTACATTCAATGAATATAATAATCCCTGAAATTTCTCAAGGTTGGTCTAATCGAAAAAAAGTTTTGTTTATAGTAGTATTACTTAAAACCGCTGCATTAATCTTTTCGCAATCATTAAAAACAGTGAGAAACAGACCATTTCAAAAACGTTTACTGATAGGTTTATGTAAATGTTCTTGTTTAATATAATTTTTAGGAAACAAGTTTCTTTGAAAATTATCTTAAGACATTGTGTAATACAAATCGTATTTAAAACATAATATATTTCGTAAATAATTACAGCGATACTCAATGCTTTTCGAGATTGACAAAAGTAAATGAGTTTGTCTTGGAGAATACTATTAAAGTTAACAAAATTTAAGCAAATATCTAGTCCAAAATGTGTTTTTTTTATCAGACTCCATCAAAGTAGGATAAAAAAAGAGCGAAACAATGTTGGTCTTAACACAAATATTTACTTATTCGAATTATCACTCTTCTTACGCGTGCAGCAAAGGGACGTTAAGTAGTTAAAAACAAGATCTGAATGAGGCTGAAAGGAAGTAAGGGTTATAAAGATGACAGAAAATGAATTCAAGTCATAATGACTAACTTTTGAGGACTATAAACGAGTTGCTTCCATTTCCCAACATAGCACAGAATTATGCAGATCGCCTTCATATAGCAATAATATATCTTAACGTCATTCTGACTTTTTCCAACTTTCTAGACGCTAGTCATTGTTACTCACTGACAGTCATAAGTAAGTGACACATCTCTTAACCACTTCAGTTGATCAAATTTAACTATCGTGCTAATCTTTTTCCTACTTTTACACGAAACCATCATTACTCAATCAATTGTTCCAACAGATATTAGCAAAACTTCGAAGACATTGCATAAATACTTGCGACTCACATGTCCTCTGCTTCCAGAATATGTTTTTTACTCATGATAGTTATGCTTATGGGATTTCCTTTCAGCAGAAAAATAAGCATTCAGCCAGCGTCACGGATGACACAAGTTGAATAAACCTAGAGGAACTTTTCATACTTGTGCTGAGTCATTGTAAGTCACTACTTTAAGACTTTCAAAAGTCAGTGACAGCGTGCTCAACTACTTTACTTCTAACTGTCATACTTGTTTTCAGTGCAACAGTTTACATTTGATGGCAATAAGCGTATCTTATCGTCTTAGAATGGATACTGAACTATTGTTACTACAAAGGATATCTGGGAGGCGCGCTTCGTCTGACTTGAGACTTGTCAGCTGAGTGTACCTGCATCCTAGTGTCATGTCCACCCCAGAACTTAAAACCAGTACTTTCGCTTCAAACTCCATCGCTTTATCCACTTAGCTACTTAGTCCAGATGGCTACTGGCTCCCAAATGCCCGGGTATGACCGAGAGTGATGTGAGTCAGATCTCCCTCTTGAAATGATCTCATATGACCACGTGCATACAACCATTGTCAGAGAAGTCCTACTCACTGCCTTCTCGTGCCACGGGTGTTGTCTACGAAAATGAGGGGACAAAAAGCGAATGTCCGGTGTTTTAACCGGATCCCAAACCAATGGTGCACATGGGCTCCAGTATCCTGAAGGAACAAATGGCGTATGAACTAATCGTTGGTCACCGGCTACCATGGGACTGCATCTCCTCACGTTGTCCCACTTCCTTGTGGACCAGACCTTCAGATCGAAGGCTCGGGGTGTGGCCCCCTAAGAAAACCACCTGCTTCGGTTTGGACACCCGAGCAGTATCACAGCCCTCATACATATCAAATGAGATCTGTGTGGCGCATATGTATTTGGTGCCTCCTTGTACCAATATCTATGTGTTTAAATAAATAAGCAACGAGTTGAATTTTAACCCATACAAAGTGGTTGTTTGGATCTTCCCACTGATGTCTGGGAGTGGACTTGATCAGTTGTATTCCTAAACATCAGTGGGAAGATCCAAACAACCAATATATATGAGTCAAGGTCACTCTACGCCTTTTTTTACGTAACTAAATCATTTCCAACTAGTTTTTTCTGTGGTTGAATACTCTCATAACATTTTTGCAAGGTATTGATTTTTCATAATACTTTGGAGTATTTTATCGGCTACTGTAAGAATTCAATCTAAACACACTATTAACATGTTGAGCGATTTCTATTTATTTTGTCTTCAGTATGTCGAAAAATTGAAAATACTGGGTTCAATAATTTATATATCAGATATACTAGATAAAGATATACAGTCACTGCTATCAGATGTTTCAGGTGAATGTATATAATAATCCGTATTTTGGTAGTAACTGGATTCATTTTTTAATTGAAACTTGCTTGTCTTCCGTGTTCTGTGATTTGCGTAATCTTCATTATATATTTTTTGTTCTCTAAATCATTGAAATGTAAATGATTGGTGTTAGCTCACGAACTGATTGAATTCTTCATACATTATTCAAATTGACGACATTATGAACTTGTATCTAGTTTCTGTTGATTACATAACAACCGCTACATGTTTCCGTTTTTCATCCAAAGATTTTTTTGACCTTAAAAACTTGTCACTTGCTTTCTTAAAGTTGTATGACTCTTCAAATAATAGACAGCATTTATACACACAATTCTGTTTTCATGACGTAACTCAAAATTTTCGTGTTAAGTAAACAGTTGGTTTTTGTAAATATGATATGCTTCAAAAATGCACTACTATGTCGTATACGAAAGTTTGATCCTATCTGAGTATTTTCGTGGAAACTGCTATCTCCAGTGTCAAGTGATTATGTGTCTACAACTTCCCAAACTATACCAGTGTAATAACAATTCCAAGTTCGAAATATCTTCAGAAACTCAACCAAAAGCTACATGGTTCCACATTCCTCTAGGTTTAAATCTCTAGGTTTTCTATGAAAGCTTTATTCAAAAGAGTTAAACAATGACCGGATTTTCCTAGACTCGCTTAGACTAGCCCATTCTGTAACCTATTTTAAATACTTCGTGTTTATTGAGGCAAATATAAGCTACAAGAAATTTCAGATGTCATTCAAAGTACCACATCAACATTCTTCGTGGATTACCCGTTAGAAATCTACCTTATAGAGTTCGTAAAATAAGATTTTCGGTGGTTGTGAGCTTCATGACTGATCCATTATTTTCTCTACAAGTTAAAATAACTCCTTGTACCTGTGTATATAAAAAATCACCTAAAAATCGAATATCAAACTCGATGGTCTGAAAATTACTTTTTTGAGTTTATCTCTTACCTTAAACTACCAATAAATTGTAAACATACCGTGAATCATTTATCAACCTTGGTACAGACCGTATATTAGTTTTCCTCGAAGAAATTGAACGGGGTGTTCGAAACTTCATGTGAATAGAGAGTTCTGATCCTGTACTAGAAAACTTTAAAAAAATTCAAGAAGACAAATTGTCAATAGTACCATGTACTTATCAAGTCCATGTGCTGGCTGTTTCTTATTTTGTGTTGGGACTCCATTACTGTGCAGTATATTTCCACACAACACGAATTCATCTCGACTACCTGAAAGTTTCACTTAGTTGCTACAGAAACACTAACTGCTTTCTTTTAAAAACCTGAGTTTATTCCTTAGAGTTACAACAGCATGTTCTAAATCGTTGCGAGATGACGCAGGTAAACGATCAAAGTTGTTCGATTCATCAGCCATAGAATTTTCAACTTTCGAAAGAATTCTAAAGGCATGTCCTCTAAAAGATTTATACCTGTCTAAACGTTCAGCCATATAAAGAGGAAATTCTTTCACTTTTTCCGAAAACGCATTTAAATACTGAACGGTTTACCATAAGATAGTGCACATACATTTTGTTTTTCGATAATAATGTTTTTTCCATAAGATAGATTTTTTACTGATTCTGACGCAGTTTTAAGTGAGTTGCCGTTTAGGTTCGCAAATTCAATTATTTTTTCTGACATACTTATCTATAAAATGATATAACGAGTTTGTCATCACACCAAGCCCACCTTGTTCATTAAGTAATCTGTGGTCTCGTTTATGTCGCTTAGCAAATTACTGATGATTCCGTCTGCAAATGACATGAAGATTTTACCTTAGTTTTAATTCATTATTATGTTCATCGTCTTTGTCCATAATCAAGCTTGTGTCTTCACGATCAGAGTGTTTCCAAATATTACGAAGCGAAGTCCAGAACGATGAGTTCTTGAGAAATTTTTTTGTTCACTTTAGAGCATAAGGCTTACATATTCTGAATGACTTTGACTCGACTGGTCTTCGAATTCCTCTTTAGATTGATGGATGTTGCTATTATTTTGAACACCAAAACTTATATCCTGTGAACTTTGATTGTATTGAGTGTCATCTAAACTAGAACTGATATAGCAATAGCTTGTGTTAAACGTAAAATTACTCGAATAACTTGCGTTGGATACCGATCCGCGGAATCTTAAACGACATTTCCTTTTGTTGATTTTATGACTCACTTAATTATAGTCAAATAGTGTAGAAAAACAATATTTGGAAAAAATTCTGGATTTCGAAGTCTATAAATACAGTTCCTCTCGAGTTGGATCATCTACTTATCAAAAGCATGATAATAAAGTCAGAAAATAACATTTGGTCAGTCTAGGACTAAAACTTCCGTTCTTTGGAATCACTGCTTAGGTTTAATGATAGGATTTTCATTAATGAAAAAAATATGGCCGTTGCTATATACCTCATGAAAACGGTAGCCTTAGGTAGTTTCTTGTTACCGTAGATGTGATTGTGGAGTAACAGCTGGAAAATTCACTCTCAGAAGCTATAAAACTAAAGCAAGAGCGCGACCTCCTCTTATAAGTCTTCCCGAAGTCTTTCTATGAAAAGGAGTTCCAAAGTTTCATTCCTGTTACGATGAAAAATTTGAGGGTATTGTTTTAGCAACAATAACTGACGTTAATTGTAATGATGAAAACAAATACTATGTCGCGTGTCCACCTTACTTTATTTGTTTAGTGTTGAAGCGTAAGACAATAGATAAATACGACAGACAGTTGTTCAATAGCAACAACAATATGCAAGACGCTAGACAGAGTACTTGACATTGTCATTGTAGCTGTAAATAAATCCCTTGTAGCGGTAAATAATTCCCCAAAATCAAATAGCTCTGTAAGTTTTCGACATTGGATGCTGACCACAGTTTTAGTGGACTCATCTAGCTGAAGGCGCTCGGTCAATCATCCGCACCAGATCACGTGTGGGAACGCCGTGCTCAACATCTGCCTCAATCGCTAGCCAGATTAGTGCAAACGATCCTCGATATATTGATAGCTTATCAAATATATCTTCGATCTCCTCGCTTCTGTCTTTTGATTTTACTTGGTGGGTGCGCTTCGTATTAGAAGGTGCTACTGGTTAAAGCGTTGTCAAACTCCGAATACCCGTGGCATCTTCATTGGTGAGCCCGACGTGATCTGGTACACCATATTGTAAACTGTGAGTCTGTTCCTTTTTGTGATTTTATATATCATTGTCTTATTTTAATTTCTTTTTTTTTACATTGTGATATTTTTTTTCCATGTTTTTGGGTTCATATATATATTTCCCACTCGTTCACCTTTCGTACTTGGTATATTACTATGACTGAACAGACCCCTAAAGTATTTAAGTTAAAGACTGTGTCCCCACCCCCTTTCCAACTTATGCCTTTCTGGCCAGACAACATCGAAGCCTGGTTTTGTTATGCAGAAGCTGACTTCGACGAGCACGGTGTGAACGATGCACGTGCACAATTCCTCGCAGTAGTCAAGGCACTACCGCGCGAATTCAACAGGTACGTAACACCTAGTATGTTAACTAGTGATGTTTCTGATCCATACCAAACACTGAAACAGGCCATCCTTGAACGCGGAGATCTAACCAATCGACAAAGGTTAGACCAACTCCTTAACAACATCGACCTGCAACACGGTTCTGCCACAAACATGTTGCAAAGAATGCGAGAAGTCATTGGCCAAAGAACCTTCGATGACGGTCTATTCAAGCAACTTTTCTTATCCAAACTTCCTCAACAGGTGCAAGCTGTTTTGGTCTCGTTTCAAAACAACGCCGTAGACGAACTAGCGGCATCTGCCGACCGCATCCTCGAAATCCCTAGATCTTTTAACGCCGAGGTTTTTTCAGTCAAAGAAACTCCTCAAACCACCCAGAATGACATAACACAGTTGTGTTATACACTTACGCGCTATCTCAAACTCGGTAACGACCGTAAACGATCACTTACTACGCGGAGAAGCACACCACGTAGGCGATCTGTATCTAGAACTCGAGAGACGGATAATCCTGATTGGTGCTGGTACCATAACCAGTACGGAAAGTCTGCCAGAAATTGCAGAAAACCCTGCAATTTCCCCAACGCGAAATCCGTCGACGCGAAGAACGTTTCGGGAAACTTCCAAGCCGGCACGCGTTAACGGCGACCGTAGCCGGCGAACATAGCCGTCTTTTATATGTCACTGATGTGATAACGAGAGTTCGCTACCTCGTAGATACTGGCGCAGAGGTTAGCGTTCTCCCACCGAATTCCGACGACAGGCTACACGAGCCTGTTTTAAATCTACAGGCGGCAGACGGAAAGCCTATCGCTACTTATGGCCAAAGGTATGTTTATCTTAACGTGGGTTTACGCAAACCCATTCACTGGATTTTTGTTGTTGCAGATGTTTCTATGCCAATCATTGGTATGGACCTTCTACAACACCACAACTTAATTATCGATACGCGCAAACGGAGGCTAGTAGACGGAAACACTAATTTATCTGTTTGCCTGACTTCTTTTTCTGGTTGCAGGTTATCACCAGTCACTATTAAGCACACTATAGACCCCTTCTACCAACCACTACTCGATAAATATTCTGGCATTTACTAATCGCAACCGAAATTGCCGTGTGTAACCAGCAACGTTACACATCACATCACGACTACAGGACCACCTGTCTTCTCGAAAGCACGCCGACTGGCCCCCGAAAAGTTAAGGTTGGCGAAAAACGAATTCGACCATATGATAAATTTAGGAATCATACGACCGTCAAATAGCCCATGGGCATCTCCGTTGCACATGGTCCCTAAAAAGGACAGCAACGAGTGGCGTCCAACTGGTGACTATCGGAGATTGAATGCAAAAACCATTCCCGATCGTTACCCGTTGCCCCACATTCACGATTTGACAGCTACCTTGAAAGGTGCAACTGTCTTTTCAAAAATTGACTTGGTAAAAGCTTATAACCAAATTCCTATGGCCACTGAAGACATTCCAAAAACCGCTATTATAACGCCCTTCGGACTCTATGAATTTTTGAGAATGCCTTTCGGTCTGAGAAACGCGGCACAGACTTTCCAAAGGTTCATAGATGACGTTTTTCGAGGTCTCAACTTCGTACATGCATACGTTGATGACTGTCTAATTGCAAGTCCGGACAGAGAATCACATCTTCAGCATCTGGACATTGTTTTCGACCGACTACAAAAACATGGCATTACCGTAAACATTCAGAAATGCCAAATCGGAACCGAATCCTTAGACTTCTTAGGACACACTATAGATGCGCATGGCATTCGACCCCTTAGAACAAAAGCAGTGGCCATTCTGGATTACCCAGAACCGACCACCATCAAGCAATTGAGCACGTTTAATGGCCTTGTAAGTTTCTGTAGACGGTTCATACCGAAATGCGCGTTACTTATGAAACCCCTTACCGACCAACTTCGTGGAAATGCGAAATCCATCAATCTGGATGACACCGCGCGAATAGCATTGTCCACGGTTAAGGAACGTATCGCTCAGGCAACTATGCTCGCTCATCAGGACACTGCAGCGCCCATTAGTGTCGCAGTAGACGCATCCGACTCAGCAATTGGAGCAGTCTTACAACAATGAGTTAACCACTCCTGGCAACCTTTGGCATTTTTCTCTAGACGGTTGCTAGATACTGAATCGAGGTACAGCACATTCGGTAGGGAACTCCTAGCTATGTATTGTGCTGTCCGGCACTTTCAACACTATATCGAAGGCCGTGAATTTATCATTTTTACCGACCATAAACCACTTACCTTCTCCTTAAGCTCATCTTCGGACAAGTACTCACCACGTGAGTCTCGACAACTGGACTACATTTCGCAGTTTACTTCAGATATTCGACACATTTCTGGAGCAAACAATGTAGTTGCAGACGCCTTGTCTCGTATAAATTCATTGAACAGTTCCCAAGGAATCGACCTTTTAAAACTCGCCCAACTTCAAAAAGAAGACAGTGATCTTCAGCACGAGTTGTCCTCAACAACACTTAAACAGATGGGATCAGGTAAGGAAACCTTACTTTGTAACACATCTACAGCTAGGGATCGCCCAATCGTGCCGAAACATTATCAACGCAACATCTTTAATAGGTCAAACAAACTTTCTCGTCCAGGTCTTTGTGCAAACATCAAGCTTATAGCAGAACGGTTTTGCTGGCCTAGTATGAGTAAGGACGTGAGGGATTGTGCACGCTCTTGTGTAAGCTGTCAGGAATCTAAGGTGTTAGACACGGCAAATGTCCCTTAGACTCTTTCGAAACTCCCGACTCTCTTTTCGATCATGTTCATCTGGATTTGGTAGAACCTTTACCAGATTCAAATGGATATTCTTATCTTTTAACATGCGTAGACCGTTTTACTCGATGGCCAGAAGCAGTACCCATCAAAGATATTACTGCTGAAACAGTGGCCCGCGCCCTCGTCGAGAGGTGGGTAGCAAACTTCGGCTGCCCAACAACCATTACTACAGATAGTGGACGTCAGTTCGAATCTGAACCTTTCCGTTGTCTGACCGCAATATTAGGAATCACTCGGCTCCGAACGACGGCCTACCACCCACAAGCAAACGGGTTATTAGAACATTTTCACCGACGACTGAAAGCGTCACTATCAGCCCCAAACATTTCTCAGTGGACTGACGCTTTTCCACTCATCTTACTAGGTATTCGCAATGCAGTGAAAGCTGACATTGGATACACTGCATCTCAACTCGTTTATGGTACGACCCTTCGACTTCCAGGAGAATTCGTGGATCCTTCATCTTCTTCGATGAATATGGATCTAACCTCCTACGCGAACAGGCTTACAAACGCAATGCGTTCAGTTAAACCTGTTTCCACTCGACCACAATCAACTGATGTTTTCGTTCAACCTGACTTACTACATAGTACACACGTTTTCGTGCGTCGAGACTCGCATCGATGACCTCTCGAATCAACATATGAAGGACCTTTCAAAGTTCTTCAACGCGAATCTAAGTACTATATAATCGATAAGAACGGAACCAACGATAGCATCAGCATCGATCGCCTCTAAGCAGCGTATTTAGAAGGAAATCCTATTCACGTCGATTTTCCTTCAATACAATCGCACGACACAACTCCTGCGCTTATAATGCCTCAATC